CGTTCTTTTGTTTTTATTGGTAGTATTATTCGGAAAGGAGTCAGACTTCCAGCACCATATCAGATATAAACTTACTATGATCAACATCTGATAAATTGATGTGGGACTCTTGATTAAAAATTTAATAACAGGGTGATATCAACTGATGAAAATCAACCAGCCAGAATTTTGATATATCTGAGTGAAAAAATTCTTAAGAGAAACACGACTTTAGAAGTCATTGAAATTATATATTGTATGAAAATAAAATTTATTCGTGCATAATGAAATTAAATTACATTGTACTGTATATGCAAGAATTTTTATTTCCATAAGAAAGAAATTAACGTGTGGTTTTGCTTTTTAGCTGCTACTTCTAAAGAATTTATAGCTATGATTTTATCTTCGTTTGTTGGTTTTTGGTCAGATCCATATCCATATAAAAAATAATAGAATATCCAAAAGGCTATTTCGCCTGAAGAATCTAATTCATAATATTTTTTCTTATAGATTTCAGTTAAGAGTTTGCGATTTTTTTCTTTTACATCATTTTTATTACTTTCATTTTTTATTGTTTATTTTTTAATAATTACTGATTATATTGTAAAATTCAAAATTGGTCAGACTACTTAATATCCCTATAGACTATACAGTATTTTATCATTCAAAGATCATAATCCTTTCCAAATATATCCCAAATATCTTCTTGTCGCTCGTTGAGAAATGTTATGAAATCTTTGTAATCGTAGAAAGTTTTTCCTTTATTTTTAAGCTAAAAAAAATACTTTTAATTATAGAAATATTTAAATAGTTAAAAAAATAAGAAAATATAATTACGATATCTTCATATTTTGATTTCATATGGTCTGATCTGCTTTTTATAAAATTGTACAATTCATTTAAATCGATAGAACTATCATTATTAGTATCGATCTTTTTAAAGATCTCATGCAGTTTGTCTTCCGGCACTTTCTCACTTTTCTTGACAATGTAATTTGTTGAATTATCAGTTTTTTAAAACCAACAGTTAAAAAAATGTTAAGTAGAAACATCACAGTAATAATTAATATATCTTTTTACTCATCATTGATTTCAATATTGAAAATTTGGAGTTATAGTTTCTAACATCATATTTATATAAAAACAATAAGATTTTTTTTAAATGAATAGATTTTGAATGGATTATAAAAATAAAAATATATACAATTAATGTTAATTTTATATTTATGTAATCAGTAGAAGCTCCTAAAACAATTTATAAATTGTTTTATAATTCATATTTTCAACATTATTTTTAATATAATAATTCAATCGATTGAAATCTTGAGTTATTAATGTATTTTATTAAAAATTAAATTGGGTCAACAAAAATTAATTCTTTCTGCAATGCATTTGTGCTTATTTAAATATAATATTAGAACTTATTTTTTATATTTTAAAAGAGAGAATAGGAAAAAAGCTGTTAAAACTCAAATCAAAAAGGCAATAGATCATGATGCGAATAAAGAATATAAGAGAGTATAAAATATTTTTGAAACCCTTCATAAAAAAGGATATAAAGGTAGACCACAAACCTATATAGCAAGATACCTTCTAAATGGGTTTCATGTCAAATTAGACGTAAAAAGTGCTTATACAATATGTGATGAGGAAAAAGTTGATAACTTACGGCTTCAAATTGCAAAAAGGCACTATAATAAAAAAGAATACGAGAAAGCTTGGACTATTTTTTTGATATTTATACTTGTAAATTCAGGTCAAACTATTTTTCAAGCAAAAAATCACATAATACACATAAACATACTGCTAAATTTTGGATGACAATTTATGTTTTAGAAGGATATTATCATGAAATACAAACTGAAATAGATATAAATTTTAAATATTTATATTTGCTTAAAAAGGCAAGAACTTTACATGAGAAAGGAAATTATGTTGAAGCATGGAATCTCTTAGCAGAAGTAAGTGAAAGTAAGACTGAATATTCTTATGATACTAAATATTGGAGTGCAATTTGCCTTTTAAATGGGCATGATAGTTGTGTCAAGCAAGATGAGAAACGTGCTTATAAATATTTTGAAGCAGTTTTTACCTGCTTTTCAAATGTTAATACTGTAAGTATTTATTTTAATGCAATAATATTTTTGTAACTAATAATATTTGAATAATTAGTAATTTAGTTAATTCTTTTATTTAAAAAAATTTTAGACAGAGAATACGTCCAGTTATATAATTGATAAAATTTTTGACTATTTTAGTACTAGATTATTAGATCATCATTTATACTTTAAATTTAATGATAGCAGCATGAAGCCAGAGCCAAATTTTAGAGAATTGGTCATCTATAATCATTGTGATTGGCTTGTTTAATTTCTTGGAAGCAGTTAACTGAGAGGGGGGACGATGTTAAACAACTATTCAGCTTTGAATGGCCTTAGCAAAATTTAAGCAAATGATAAAGTATTGAAAATTTTCAATCCAATTGTTATTCCATCTTAGTTAGGATACAATATTAGAAAGGAGTCATGCTCTAATACTCCCCTCCTCCAGATAAATATACTTCGTATAAAAAATGCACCCGAAAAAAATTTAGAATTTTCATAATAAAATATTAAAAATTTCAGCTTCAGCCACCATTTTGTTTTATATTGTCGACCTGACCAATTGCTCAAAGTTTACTTTGGATAAATTATAACAAATTAAATTCTATTTAATCATGCGTTCATTAATACTTGTCACTATTTCTTAGTATTATTTACTTTAAGAAACTTAAAATTTAATTATAAAAAGTGCATTAAAATAAAACCTAACCAGATTAAAAAACGTTATGTGACGGCTGATGCTGATGTTGAAGCTAAAAAATCTGATTGGCTAAATTTTGCAGATCACCCTAACCCTAACCAATCAGATTTTTTAGCTTCAACATCAGCCAAACTTCAGCATCAGCCGTCACATTTACTATTCGAATACTTTAAAATATGAAATAATGCTATAGAACTTATGTTTAAAGGATTTTTACGATTTTTTTATTAAAAATAATATAAATATTGCGTATTAGTTATTATTATTCCTGTATTCACGAAGGGAAGCTGTTTGAAGCTGCACCCTTTGTCGTTATTGTCGTACGTATCAATACTAAAGTATTACATATCACATTTTATATCACATGAAATGAGTCCGATCGGCCCATATGAAAACAAACTGCCGGCTTTTTTTAAAAAATCGTCCATAACTCAAAATTTGATTACAAAACCACCTTTTGCGTCTTAGCAAAAAAAAATTCCTTGCGAAATTTTGCTATATGCCAGGTCCTTTCTATTATCATCCCAGTTGTTCACCCTTACCCTAACGTCAAAAGTTAATTTTTAATCGAAAAATGCGTTGCGATCTGCGGTGTGGCTTTGGCCAATGAAATTTTGCGTAGATAATCACATGTCCGCGAAATTTTTATGCGGTTACTATCGCTATGTATAATCCATCGATTACATTACTAAAGTTGACGCAGGAAATTAATATAATTCATCTTTTGACGGCAAATACGTATATGACATAAATTTACGTAATGTTTAATTAATTGACTAATTGTGGCTGCGCCACCAATTAATTAATTGAGCTCGAAAAATTGCAATTAATTGACC